AGTGAGAGATGAGAGTTTCTGCCATTCTGCAGTTATGAGAAAAAAGCTAAATATGGGTTACTTCTGCAACATAATGTGCTTACCATGAGTACGGCCATTTGAAATCGGGCTCTTGGTGTTCGCATAGGAGCAATAAAGGACCAGTTATCTGTATGTGGATCATAGCATTCAACTGTTCGAAGACATTCCTCTCTATTATATCCACCTGGTGAAAGAATCACAAAGATTTATGTTTAAAATATTAAACTGGACCAAAAAGTGTTAAAAGTTTTAAAGGACCCGTTAGTTGATGTTTTTAACTAAGTGATTATTATAGCTGAAACATAACATCAGTGTGCGTAAATTGCTTAGTCTTGGCTTGAAAATTACGAGAAAAATTTACCCAGTTTACAGTTTTTTTTTTAAAAAAAAAGTAGCAACAATGAACTGAAGGTTAGATGTACTCGATATAGTATTTACTTGTTATTTCCCTGTCTTCTTGGAATGCCATGGAAGAAAGCACATTAAACCCTCTCTTCCCAAGTTTGCATGTCACCAGCAAGTGTAAACAAATAGCCATTTACAAGCTTATCCAGTTGAATGCTTCTGATAAAGCACTCATCCTTCTGTTCTTACCTGCAGCTATGAGTTTGCCATTCATCTCTGCTGTTCCCAGGCCAGATCGTGCGTACTGCATAGGCGACATGGGCTTTTCGATTAGCTCATCTGGTTGCATCTCAAAGCTTAAACTCTTAGTTAGTTTTGGAGTACTCGTTGGTGAGCTCTGTGGACTGTTTCGCCCATGAAGGAAAATTACAGAGAATATGCCATCCAGCACAGCCAGACACAAGTAAGTGTTATCTGTAAGCACAAGAGTTCCATGTTTAAGATGATAAGATGTAATTATTATCACTTTTGGTTGCTGTATGATCCTGACTTAGACTCCACAGTCTCCAGATGCCAGACTGGAACAATCTGCTATTGTTTTCCAAGTTTAATTACTTCTGAGTTTTTTCCACAAATAGTCAATTTAAAAGTATTAAATTGACAACACTTCTTCTTAAAAATAGATAAGCTGAAGACAATCTGGCAAGTGTCATATACTTACTTGAAGTCTTTTCCGAAGCAATGATTTTCCACTCATGCTTAAGACTTTGTACTGTAGCATTTGGAGAAGAGAGACATCCAGTAGAACTGCTACTTATCTGCTTATGGCCATTCTCACGTGGTGGCTTTTTCTGCAAAATCAAAAGGTAGCTACAGAAACCTAGCCAAAGACCACACCTGATGTACCTTTTTGTTCCTGAGCTATTCCACAGCACTGAGTATCTTTTTCAACACTCAGTGCGAAAACACTGAGTATCCTTCACCTATGTGTGACATATATAGCACACCACATTTAACACAAACCAACACTTTCTAATTGACACAATTATGGCATACTGCCACCTCCACTTAATAATGAAACAACTACACCCGTACAGTAAGCCTGGTCAGAAAAAGTTCAATTTAAACAATTCAAAAATCATGTTGCAAATCAAGTATCAGAATGATACCTCAATAGAGAAAGGAAAAAATAGCCCATAGTCCATATAAGCTCACAGATTCTTATATTAAGTATAGAATCTTTGAAAAGATGTTATAAAGTTAAAATGGCATGAATTAACAGAGAATACATTTAACCCACTGTCTCCATGATATTGTCAAACCTAACTAAATCGTATGTACAGGTGTCCTTCATACAATGCCAGCAAAAAGTGAGCAGAGTCCTTCAGTTGCTCTGAAAGTACAGAAAAAAGTAGCGATTACAAGAAACACTTAAAGGATATTTCTCTAGGGTTACCTTATAGGTATTATAGAGTGGTTTTCTAGACCAAACTATATGAAAATACAATAAAAAATAGTAATCAGAAATGAAACATTACTAAAAGAACCAAATATTCACAAAAGTAGAATATATAGCAACACTAAAAGAGGGAGAAATGAGCAAACTGTCAATTTCCAAATGAGTGTAAGAGAACTATATACACATGTGTTCTCATACATGTATGAGTTTTCTTTGATGGCTTCCTTCCAATTACTTTATTCTTTTCCACTTCCGAAGGATATATAGAACTGAAGTCAATAGTACTCTGAGAACTGCCAAGTGAACAGGTACTACTTTCAGTACCTGGCCAAATATGTTCATCCACTTATTCTGGTCTAGAGAGCCAGACCACACGGATAGGTAAGATTTCTAATGGAAATTTCTGTTGTTAGTGGAAGCAAAAAGCCATGTAACAAGTAAAAGAGAAAAAGATTGTGGTAGCTACTTGAAGGTATAAAAAAAAAAAAACCTACCAAACATCAGGCCTTTTGACTGAATCCAAATTTTCCAGAACAAATCCTTTCAATACAGGGATTTGTTCTGTGAAGTTTGGATTTGGTCAAGGAGCCACATTTGGGGATCTGGAGAGCCACACGTGGCCTTGAGGCCACAGGTTCCCCAACTCTGGCTGGGCCATTGAGCAAGTGTGCTTACAACATATATAGGCGATTTTGAGAAAAAGCAGGGAATGTATTATGGCAATGGTTATCATTAAATTCCATTTAGATATTTATTATGTACTTAGGTATTAGGCACTTTATTCACATCTCTTTTAATGCAGAGAGGGTGATATTATCTACCAATTTTAATAGATAAAAATATCAAAACTCAGAAGATATGCATAGCCAGAGGCAATACAGCTAACATAAAGATTCTTAAAAAGACAGAAAATCCCAGATGTTGGCAAGGATGCAGAGAAAAGGGAACGTTTATACACTGTCAGTGGAAATTAGTGCAACCTCTATGGAAAACAGTATGGCCATTTCTCAAAGAACTAAGAATAGAACTACCATATGATCTAGCAATCCCACTACTGGGTATGTACCCAAAGGAAAAGAAATCAATACATAAAAAAGATACCTGAATTCGTATGTTTATCACAGTACTACGCACAATAGCAAAGATGTGGAATCGACCTAAGCATTCATCAACAGAGGGTTAGAAAATGTGGTGTGTATGTATACAACGGAATACCGTTCAACCACAAAAAGTGAAATCATGTCTTTTACAGCAACAGGGATGCAACTGGAGGCCATTATCTAAGTGAAACGATTCAGACACAGAAAGACAAATACCACATGTTCTCACTTGTAAGTGGGAGCTAAATAACGTGTACATATGGAAGCAGAGTGTGGGATGATGGACAATGAAGGGTTGGGGGGTGGGGGAAGCAGATGGTGGGAGGTTGCTAGGTGGTAAAGTGTGTGCTGCTCCAGTGAGAGATGCACTGAAGGCCCTAACTTCACTATGGTGCAATACACCGATGCAGCAAAATAGCACTTGTACTCCACGAATATATACAAAACATGTTTTTAAAAGATTAGGAATTCTGAATAAACTGTACTCTTTTTATACTATGACACAATCTGTCATAGTACAAAATACTAGGAATAAAAGATAAGGTTACAGATATCTAACTTTATCTGCTACTGGGAGTTACAAGGTACACAAAACCCCATCCCACTCTGTGGGAAGAAGGGGTCCAGTGTCACAAATGGATGGTGTTTACACTGAGGATGTATTACAGCAAGAAAAACGACTGTAATGCACAAACGAAAACTGAGAGGAAAAATGAGTGTGGAAGAGAAAGGCACTGTAGTAATGCAGGTAACAAGCCTAATACAGAAATGAAGGTTAACTCCTTTCTATGTAAAAGGGATATCCCTAAACCTCCCAGAGAAAGATTTCCCAGTTTACAGCTTCAAACTTTCTTCTCCTACCTGAGGTAGCTTTTACAACATGGTTAGATTCTATTTGTCCTCGTACTTTTCAAACTCCTTTTCCTATTCCTGAAGCCTAATGTGTGTCCTCCTCATCCCTATTACTTCATGATCTCTATTCACGGCACCACATTCTAATGAGTCGCACATGTCAGAATCCCACTAAACAGTCACTAAGGCCTCCTAAGTTGACCTTTGTAAACATAAATGTCTATTTATAGATATAAATAAAGAATCCATCCTTTCTCCTTCATGCCCTTAGATTAAACCCTCATCATTTTTAAAAAACCTGAATAACCACTTGCAGTTGTCTACCTTCTGTGTCTGATTATAAAAATAGGAAGGGTCCAAGACAATAATTTTGGAAACTAAAAAACCACAAATCAGTTGGCATCCCCCAGCCCAGAGACTGTTATAGTTAGAGCTCTAATAATTAGACTGTTTCCCAGTTTTTCACTATTACTCAAGCTGTGAAAGGTATCTGTTCATCACTCTACTCTTACCTAAAATTTCATGTAGGCTTCCCACTGTCTGCAGGATAAGGTATGAGTCCCATTCTGGTAGCAGTTACCTAATTTCTTAGCCTTATGACCTGCAATTCCAAGAGTACTATCCTTGTACACATATTCTTTGCTATCTAATATATCTCCATCTGCTATACAAACTCCTCTAAATTGTAAGACTGCTCAAAATTTTCCTCCTCTGTGAAATATCCCTGGTTTCTCGCGTCTCCACTATGCCCTCCCTCCTTTTTAGGCCTTTTGTAGATACCTCTTAAAAGTCTGTATTATTTCTCTTATAAAGACCTACAAGCAGAAACTGTCTCTTACACACTTTTGTGACCCCACACTGAACATTATGGCCTGCAACTTACTTGGGCACTCAACCTCTGCCCTGATAACATAACCATATAGGCTACTACTGAGTCTACCATTTACCTTCTAATTTTTAAAGGAAAATACCCCTTAATCTGGGTTGACTCTGACTACTTTATAACGGATCCCTCACTAATACAATACTGAGCTAAGGGTCAAATAAAAAGAATACATACTGTATTGACCATTTATATAAATTTGACTGTGTCAGAAGGTTGGATAATGGTTTCTTTTGGGGCAGTGTAGGGCAGTGACTAGGCAAGGGCAAGAGGAAGGCTGCCAGGATGCTAGCAATCTT